CGCACACCGCCGTCTCGGGAGTGGGGGCAGGAGTACGCACACCGCCGTCTCGGGAGTGGGGGCAGGAGTGCGCACACCGCCGTCTCGGGAGTGGGCCAAGGAGCGCGCACACCGCCGTCTCGGGAGTGGGGCCAGGAGTGCGCACACCGCCGTCTCGGGAGTGGGGGCAGGAGTGCGCACACCGCCGTCTCGGGAGTGGGGGCAGGAGTGCGCACACCGCCGCCACGGGAGTGGGGCCAGGAGTGCGGACACCGCCGTCTCGAGAGTGGGGGCAGGAGTGCGGACACCGCCGTCTCGGGAGTGGGGGCAGGAGTGCGGACACCGCCGTCTCGGGAGTGGGGGCGGGAGTGCGCACACCGCTGCCTCGGGAGTGGGGGCAGGAGTGCGCACACTGTTGTCTCAAGAGGAGAAGGCAGGAACTCTTGCGCAGGGTTAAATATTTATGGATGCATTGAAAAAATATTCTTCTTTAAGGGGTGTCCAAAGCCAGGTTTTCATCAACTACCTAATGGTATAATAGTTAGAAGAGTCTGTGGGCCTTCATTGACTCTATATGGGAAAACTTATCACTGTAATGTGGAAACAAACAAATGCTTTATCTTGACATAACAGAAATGTATCTATTTCACATTCAATTACAAATGCATTGTCTTGAGTAGCAAAACAAACTACTGAGTTCTAGTCTAATGTCTCTGTTTTGAAAATGGCTAGTATTACCTGCTGTTTCCAAAGCTGGGAGTAATTGAGGAAGGCCAAATAGTGTGTTTGGACATAGGACCTGTTCTGTTTGTGATGGTTCTGTGACTGTGGTGCTGTGGTTCAGCGACTGTTCCATCTTTTTCCAGCCACAGAGAGCTCTGGGTCGTCCTCCCACTGCATGTCGGGCAGCGGCTCCAGTGGCTCAGACAGTGGCTGCGTGTCCAACATCCTTCCCGAGACCCTGTCCGAGGAGCCAGGCTCCCCCTTCGACCCCTCCTGCAACTCTAGTGTGGCGTCCCCTGCGGATGACAAACCCCACTTCACCAACAGCCAGTATATTTCAGCTGTGAGTCCACTACCAGGGACTTCTTGATACCTTAGGCACATGTCACTTGCATTTTTGACTGTTGGGTTATCTGTATTACTGTTAATACTGTAACAACATTATATTTAATGCTAGCTAACTGAAACGTGGAATACGTGATGTGGTTGGTTTTGCGTATATAGAGTAAATTACATTTGTTCACAGTGCATGAAGGGAGAATAATGGTAATTTATGCACTTAGGATGTAAGCAGGATGTTTTAGAGAGGCTGTATTGTCTACCATTTCATATCACTGAAAACCCAAGCCTCTGAACAATTAATGCTGCTGGTCTCTGTTCAATTCAGTTCTTTCACTTACAGTAGCTTCTAACCAAAGGCACTTCCTGCCAAATAAATTATTTTTGATTATAGACAACTAAAACACTTAATTATACATCTGAGGAATAACTGTCAGAGTTGAATCAACATACTTACAAGGATTAACCTTAAGGAAAGTAAGGTTATGTTTCTGTTAATGATCTTTACTGATATTCATGCATAAATCCAGTACAGACCAAGTTTGCTACAAATCCTCCTAAATACACTTAACCTTCAAATAACATATTAATAACTAATGCTTCTCTCCTTCCATCTGCAGAAAACAGGCCAAATCATAAGCCCATCCACAATAGTATGAGAGCTGTTGTCCTGTTTTATTATGTAAGTGAGGACACACCTTTTGTCTATTATGAGGCTATATCATGTGTATTGTAACAAATGTATTAATTGAAACATTCTTCATACTTAAATGTTTTTGTAATTATTTTTGTGCTGGATTTCAAATATCAATTTAATTTGTTATTTTTTAGGTTTAATCGCCAGCTGCTTTCAATTTGAAGACCTGCCTTATGGAGAGAAAAAAATCTTTCCCCATCGTGGCTGCACATCTCATCTCAGATGGACACAGAAATAGCTGGAAAATAGCACTGTTAAAAAGCCACTTTTGAGTTGCTTCATAGCAATTGTATGGTTCAGAAACTGATTTAAAATATATTTTTAATTTATCTTACTGTAACTGGTTCAAATGAGCATTCTTTACAGTTTTGAAATCTGTAAATAATAGTAACTGTTTACAATGCAGTTATGAACTGCTTGCCTGTTGTTGACCACTTGTGTTGCAGGCTGCCATTTTAAAAGGTGGGAATGCACTCCAATTAAAATGGGTTTAAGTGCTTCAGTGACTATGGAAGGTATGGCAGTTTGTCTAGTAAGAAGCATTTTCATTACTGTTTTTTAGGTCTTTTAAATGATGATTGCTTTCTTATGACCTATGGTCAAACTTTTGTTTTACTGTAAATAAGTTTATACTGTGGTAACACAGTAGAAACAGTTTATCACCTTTCAAATATTTAACCCTTACAGCTCAGACTGGAAACTCTGCTCTTGTATGTCCAGTTAGGCAGGAAGGCAGAGCACAGCTGTCCAACTGCAGCACCAGCTCCAGCAGAGTGACGCACTGTTCTAGTGAGAAAACTGTTGTGTGAAATGACAAAGGGCTAATCTTTAATTATCATTTATTGTTGATTTTCAGAAAAATGCAACATTAAAAAATTCAGAAATGTATTATTTGTACATAGAAATAAGATAATTTGCACCAGTGGTGCTTCGTGGGTTAGTGAGTGGGAGAAAAGGGCTGCAGTTTTTTACATGTAATTAACAGCAAAGCAGGGAATCACTGAAGTGCTATTTTTTATCATAAAATAAATGTAATTTCCATTTATAGTTGAGCGTGAATATTTACGCAAGTGCCAGTTTTGTTAATCTCATGAAATGTTCAGACGTTAAATAAAGAGGAACTGCTTTGTACCAAAGTTAAAAAATATAATATTTTCATTGTGCCCAAAGTTGGGTTGCAGCAGGGGGTCAAGCTCAGGTGTGCCTGGTGTTTTATGATTTCTTTTCTATACACATTCTCTGTTACATAGTTGGCCTCATTGTTTAATTAGCTGCAGATTTTTAAGGAACAGGTAAGGGTTTATCACATCTGAACGTCCCTTTCCTTTTCCTTTCAGCATAGAATAAACCTTTACCTGTTCCTTTGCAGCCTACGCATGCTGACGCAGCTATCTACTTGTACTTCAGCATACTTTTTATATCTATCCAGGTTCTGAGGTGAATTATATGTAACTGTCTTTATAAAAGATAATGTCTTGTGTAAGGAACTATAAAAAGACCTTATGAAAAATCCTATATACAGTAAATCTCTGATTTAAAAAAAATTCAGACTGAAGAAAAACCATTAGACACAAGAGCTTTGAGAACCTGGGTTTTACACCCCCGGTTTGGAGGAATGATCTTGTGCAGTCAGGACGCTTTGTAAGTGCAGGTGGGTGCTGTCCACAATCTTGTAGTGTGCGTATGTGAGGGATCCTCCTCAGGAAACAGCATTACTGAACGACAGTGATCCTTCCTCACCATCTCCATTCAAGCATATACTTCATTGCAAACGGAATTGTGTACTGAAAGCATGCAAGGGACAACACAGAAACACACGAGAGACAGCAGTTGACTTCTGTTTCTGGCAACATTTATGCAAGACAGAAAACTCCACAGTAAGATTTGTTTTGCAGTTACTGCTCCGAAGGACAAACCTGTGCACAGGTATACTGTAAGTGCACATGGAGTATGTCAAGAGTGTTGCTGATCACCTAGGCACTACTACTGCAGGGTGATTAGCATTCGAGATGTGTGAAAAACTCATACAATTCTAATCTCACTTCTGTTTTATATCATTTTAAGCAACTAGAGCAATTGTTCAAACTGAATTGTGTAAAACTGAAGTCTCAGAACTTTGTACTGAGCCTCTGTACAGTTATCTGACTAAAGGAGAACACAGGAGCGTCTCACCTTCACCCACTTTAACACTCTGCCTCTGTTGTGTCTATCCTGCTTAAAACAAGACAAAACATTTTCATCAGCTGAGCTACAACCACCTCTGGGTCAATCTGATGTGTCCGGTTAAATGAAAAAAAAGCCTTAATTTTATTCACATTTCTTAGAATTAAGATCTAATTATTACATTTATTTTTATAATTTTATAATATAATTTTATTAAAGTGTTTTGGAGATCTCTTGATATTTGATCTTACCCATAAGAAATGTACAAGATTAAAAACTTTTATAGTGGAATGCTTGGAGTCCTTCAGCTTTTTGAATCCAAGATGATTCCAGTCAGAAAGGCATGGCATTTGCGGGCACACAGCATTTCTTCATAAGTCAAATTAAAACACAAGGCAATATCTGTAAGGTAAGATAAGCACAAACTAAAGATGTGACCTCAGTTGAGGTCATGCAACATCTACTACACATCATAGCAGTATGGGACACTGTATAGGTCTCATGGCCTCTGTGGCTGCAGTAGAGATTATATGACCTCTAAGAGAGCTGGGGCTCCCAATTTATCATAAAGGGGTGAAAATAAGAGAAAGAAAATGGGTTAACAGTGCCCCCTAATGGCATATTTGTTAAGTGCACAGAGCTGCTTTTACTTTCTGCACAAAATAGACGTGTTCAAATGACTTCTACATAAATGCTTAATTTATTAGAGTATAAACCGTATTTAGTAGATACATTATATTTCTAATTTGATATTTTTAATATCCTAAAATTTCTAAAGGTCATGTGACCTCTGCTGTGTTGAGCAATGAAGATCATGTGACCCCCCCCCCCCACCGTGTTCCAGAAGTTGTGAAACCTGTTGCAATTTATACTAGAGGTCATGTGACCTCTGTGTTTCTTTAAAGCCATCGGATACAATTCACATGCTTGTGGGTTAACCACTATTTTCTTTATTGACATTATTGACTTTTCAATGATGGGTTCATTGAGATAAAGATGCAGATAAACTGCAGAAGAGTCATTACAACAACAAAAACATGCTCAACAATTATTCATTAATTATGCACAAAATGCCATTAGACCCCCTCTAACACAAAATGACATCTTCAGTATCCCCACTGAGTTCTATACTGTACATTGAAATTTACTGCTGTACTGTATGTACATGAGTACAATGAAATGCTTACTTGGGTGTTTTCTTCACATGATAGGTGGAATCACAAAGTGTTAGATAACACTTGATTTGGCCATATACAATTTCTTGTATTAGGAATTTGTCTTTTTGCATACCCCAACCTGCTCTCCATGAGACACACAGACAGAAGGAGAGAAGCTTGGAATCAGAGCGCAGGGTCAGCCATTTATACGGTGCCCCTGGAGCAGCTGGGGTTAAGGGCCTTGCTCAGTGGTCCAGCGGAGTAGGATTCCTCTGCCAGATGCGGGATACAAACCGGCAACCGTCCAGCCACAGGTGCAGATCCTTAGCTACAGAGCCACCGCACTGCCCCAAAACTTCTGCCCTAAGCAGGTATTGGACTTAGTTCTCCTAAATAGCGCTCCTATTGTCAAACCCACTGTGCTACCAGGCCACTCAAATAAAGGATAAAGGAACATGGTAGCAGCTAGAATTTTAAACTGAATTCAGATAGCAAATTCAATTAGTGGCAGCATTTTGAGTTTAGTGCAAAAGGCAGTGGAGGTGGGAGGACTTAAGAGATGGGGTTGAGTCTTATGGCTGTAGGAAGGAAGGCACCTGGCTTTTATACTTCTACCAGAAGGAAGAAGAGAGAAAAGTGCATACCCAGTGAGGTTTTGAGCCTTGCTTATATTGTTTGCCATTCTGAGGCAGTGTGTGGTGAAGACGGTCTGGATGGAAGCGTGTTCTGTACCAGTGATGACCTCATCTGTCTCCACTACCTTCCGTAGCTTTATTACATTCATGAGCTGAGCAATGGCCATGCCAAACTGTGAGAATGCTCATAGTGCATCCGTAGACATTTGTGAGTCTGAAAACATACCAAATCTCCTGAGTCTCTTATGGAATTAGTCAGATTGATGCTGATGTGAATGCTGATTGAATCTGCTGTCTATCTCCACAGCAGCCCCAATGATATATAGGCAATAGACATGCTTTTTCATCTGAGAGGTGTGTCCTCCTTCCTGAAGTCAACAGCCAGCTCCTTAAGTTTTGCTAACGTTGAGGGAGAGGTTGTTGTCCTGGCACCTTAACCTATTTCTTTTACTCGGTTTCATCATTATTTATGATAAATCGAATATGTTAATGATTAAAGTTTGGTTAATTGAGAAGTACAATGGAGTGAACAAGCGTGACAGGACAGAAAGACCCATGAAATTACCTACACAAACCTCTTCAGAAAAACTGCTCGAAGTACATCCAACCAAAAGACATTACTTACCTTCAGTGTCTTTCTTCACAGCTCTGCCATTTTGTTGGAACAAAACTAAAGAAACCAATAATCTGGATTAGCTAAAGAGGCTACTAACACATCGTTGGTGAATTCAATTATAAAAATGTATTCATTAAAAAAACATGCACATCAGTGTCTTACAGTAATAAGACAGGCGGGTGTTCCACTCGCAGGACAGAGCCTTTTGGCACAGGCACCTTCATAGCTGGCCTGCCAACATCTCCTGAGAAAAGAAAAAATAGAGGCTGAAAACAACCATGTGTGCACACGGGTAAGATACAGTTCTGGCAAACTGGTTTGTGAAATATCTTAAAATGTCTTTCAGACGTTTCTGCACAGATGAAGAAGCTACAATACCAGTAGAGGGCACTTAAGAACTGGATTTTTGCTCACTCTGTAATAACAGTGGTTCCACTAGTATGTCAGTGTTTCCTATTAAGGACTATTATCAACATCTTTCAGTTATGAGGGCAGTTTTAACCAGCTTCAAGCTCACCTTTAATTTTGGATGCATTATTTTATTCTTTGCAGACTCTCGGCATAAATTCATGCGGTTCCAGCAATGTCTTTAGATCAACCACAGAGCTCTGATTCCTTCTGAACTGCTTTGCTTGCACTGGAAGATAAGTGCCTTCGGTGCTTTCAATACCCCGGCCTGGACACTGCTCTAATGTCTGTTTTGGAATTAGAATTGAAATCCCAAGCATCACAGGGCCTCCCAGATCAGGTGGGAAACACTTGTCAGGTTGGTTTCATGTTCTGTATGAGGGTCCACCCAGGGTACTTCTGATTATAGAAAACATTGGGGGAGCACATTGGCTAAGATCCCTTTTTTCAACTATTTTTTTAAGTTTACTGGGAGGGGCTGGGAGATCATCATGATTCTTCTCCTATAGGCACACTCCTCTCCTCTTACATGAAGTATTCTCTTTGGGACTGTGCTGCTCATTGTCCACAGGCTCCACACTTGGCTCTCCAATCCACACCTGCTTTTCAGTGACCAGGTGCCTGTGCAGATAGAAGGATTGGCTCTTCCATCTTTATCTACTATAACGTGAGTATCACAAGTATTACACTTCTCTGTTTTGCTGTAGTAATTTAAATCTCCCTGTAAAGAATCATGAAATAGCATGAGGGCGGATAGTCACTCAGAACCGTCTTGTATTTCATTATTCTTACAGCCCACAGACCAAAGTCCCACAAAGGAGAAAAAGATCAGACCTCCATCAATGACTCTTTGCAGACTTTCGGCTATATGATAACTGCCTCTGTGTTATCCATAGAGAAAATAAAACTTTGAAGTTAATGTAGCAAGAACTACTAAAGATGTTCACACAAACAGAATCAGGCTATGCCATAGAAAACAGAGCCTCTTTACCAAGTACCTCACAAGTAAACTCTGGCGTCTTATGCTCTTCTTCATCAAACACAAGTGATTCAGCAGAGGAGAAAAGCTATTCACTCCCTGACTCCCTTCCTTTACTCCAGGCCCTGGAAGAATGCAATGTTCAACAGCTACACCTTGAATTGAGCAAGCATCAGCA